TGCCGATCCCTCCTCCTGTGGAGAAACTCAGTGACATTACTATCTCTCATGGGAAACCTGGATTTTCTCTCTTGTCACTTTTAGAGTCTTCTTTGTCCAATACTTTCGTCATGCTGTTTTTTTTGTTTGTTTGTTTGTTTGTTTTTCTTTTTTGGTACCAGGGATCAAACTTGGGTCCTTGAGCTTGCAGGGCAGGCTGTGGAACCACTGAGCTAAATCCCTGGCCCATCTCTTGCTGGTTTTCTGGTAGGCCCTTCCAGTCTGGAAGTGTGTCCTTCATCTCTAACATCTGCATGGGTTTTTTGGATAATTTCCTGTCAGTGTTTTCCCTGTTTCTGTGCTGTGCTGGAAGGATTGATTGCTGTCCCACTTGGATCAGTTTTTAGATTTTGTTCTCTTTTCTGTTTGCTGAGGGCCTCATTGTATCCATTGGAATTTACTAAAGAAACAGATACAATACAAGATACACAACTACATATGAATGTACAAGGTTGGCTTACAGTGGCCATCATAGTCAGGTGAGGAAGAATACAGAGGGTCCGTCTGCACCCTGGAGGCCGAAAGATCCAGTCGAAGGCCGGGAGCTCCCTGCAGTGTCCTGTGTAAGTCCGCATCAGGAGGCCTATGGGTCTGCGATGGAAGCTGAGCACCAGAAGCCAGGAGATGACGTCCAAGGCAAAGACAGCTCCTCTAGGAGCAGAAGCAGCCCGTGCCCTTCCTCATTTCCCCTCTACACAATCCAGGCGACTGGCTGGCCACCAGGTTGGGTCCTGCAGACCCCAGGCCTGGAATTGCGGAGGCGAGTTAGTTCAGCTTCTCCTAACCAACTTCTCAGGTTGCCACAGTCAACCACAGCCACCACACTCAATTCCTGCTTTCCAGGGGTTTCCCTCAACTTTACACTCTCATTCTAAACCTTGTGTACAGTTTATTTTGCATCTTCGCTTTACATTGTAGCTTTAATTTCCAAGAGCTCTTTCTCTGCTTCTTGTGTTGTTTCTAAATAGCATCCTATTCTTTTTCCTGAATGCAGTAGTTTCTTTTTTATGTTTTGTTTTGTGTATAAAGAATTGTTTTTGTTTGCTTGCTTCTGTCCTTCATGTTGATCCCTACCAGGTGTGGCTAGCGCTGGCTCTCACAGAGCAGGCTTCTCCCTAGGCTGCTTCTGCTCAGCCCCATTTGCTCCTGGTGGGGCTAGGCTGGGGCTGGGGCTCAGGGTCGGGGTGCTGTGTGTCCCGGGGCTTGTTGTTTGTGGGGTTCCCTGTGAGGCACTGCTGCCTTCCGATGCCAGCACCTTTCCTTCCAGGTTGCTCACTTTCCCTGGAGACACACACACACACACACACACACACACACCCTCTGCCTCTGCCTCCTGCCAGCCAGGCCCAGAACCTAAGTGGGACAGGGGTGGGCTGGTCCCGTCTCCTGGGCCTTTCACAGTGGCATAGCACTCGGCTGGTTTCAGATCCGACATGACGTCTGCCATCCGGTTCTTCCCATCGTGTGCTTTTCATTCTAGGCTCCTGTGCTGCTGTGTGTGCCTTGTTCTCCTCAACATCTCCAAGGGTTTGGAGGTCAGCGTGTGCCTTGTCCTGTTCCCACGAAGGCGTTTTATTTAAATCAGCTAGCTCTCTGTGCTGCTTAACAAAAAAAAAAAAAAAAAAAAAAAAAAA